CTCAATGACCTAAACCTGGCAGCTGTTATTTTTATAGATTTTATAAAAGCTTTCGACACGATGGCTTGTTTCAGTCAATGGAATGGTGCATAAGGAACCATAAGGACATACAACCTTATGGTTCCGTAACTATTTAAGGGACAGAATGTTACAACTAGTTGTGACCTTGGCAAAATCAAACATGGAGTCCCAACTGACTCAGTATATGGTCCAGTAGGATACATCTTTCATGTAAATGGAATGAAGAAAGTAGTACGGTCATGTAAAATGTATAATATACATGTACGCCGATGACACTTGCCTAACTACTCTGATAAAGATCCAAAGACAATAGATACGGTTATGCAAAAAGTCTTAGACAATATTGTTAAATAGGCGCAAGGTAATGGTATTATTATTAATATAAGCGAAACTAAATGTATGTTAGTACCTCCGCCATACAATTGACATAAACACACAGACTTTTTAGTTAAGGCCCACACCTACGATTGTTTTTATAGAAATAGCATTGTAGATAACTGTGAATGTCTGAAGTTAGAACAATTCAACGTAACAAAATAACATAGTAGCTATGGACTTACGTTCCCAATGTATTTAAATAAAATCAAAGCCTACAAACACGGTTGCTAAAGATAGTAGTAGATAAACTGAAATAAGTAGTTAAACTGAAAATTGCATGTAATAAAGAATATGCTAGACTTTTCAAAATTGTAGACAAAAAAGTTGAAATAAAATTGATAGTGGAAATGAAATAAAAATGAGTTTAAAGAAGAAAGAGAATATGGCTACCCAACTCGTCAATTTACTAGAAAAGGAAAATATGAAATTAAAAATTACTTCGGTATGCGCACGAGACGGTTGGTTATCCCGTAACTACATAACGAGCTGTCTCCGGACTGCTTAGTAAATTTATTTCAAAAAAACATATAAAAATACTTTAAGAAAACATTACCTATCATTGTATCCGAAAAGGTACGCTTTAGGCCACGTATAATGTACTGATCAAATTAGCAATCTAAGTGTGGTTTGTTCTCTTTGAGTGTGTGTTGAATTACTTCGTTTATTTAATTATATATATATATATATATATATGTATATATATGTGTGTAAAAAATCAAAAATATGATAAATATAAGAATTATATTGGCTGATATAGACCTAATAAGAAACTTTGTACTAAATATGCATGTATAGAATAACTTGTTGGTAGATGTTAGTATATGTGTAAGAAATATTACTTAAAATTACATAAACATAAGCATGTAAGACTAACTAAGAACTACTGCCGACAAACTGAGTTTGCAGTTTGGCAGAAGAAAATATAAAAACGTTTATTTTATAATTGGGTGAAAATTAAATTTTGTGTTTTACGTCGCCGTTTTTACTACAAAATAAATTTAAAATAAAACGTTAGTAAGCCATGTCCATAACGCTCCAACATAATTTTTTTAATCCCAAACCGGGGAGCATTTTGCGTGGAAAACAAACAATTGGCGTCGAATTTACAACGAGCGTTGAGAGCCAAGCCGCTTATTGAGATGACTGTGCGATGCTCAATTTAAATTTTCTACTCCCTAAGAGGTGCTCATGGATGGAAAGGTTCCATTGCAATCTCATTCGGGAATACTATGAATATATTGCTTGAGAAGTTGGTAGTATTAAGGAGTCTGTCTCTTACAAATTTTGTTCTTAGATATTCTCTTGAAAGCTTCTTAGATGTACAAAAAGAAAGGAACATAAAAGAAAGGATATGTCGAAAATAAAAAGAAAATTTATTTGGAACTTGTTTGAAAATTATATTCCGAAGAGAAACTATGATATTTTTTCCGAAATAGTCTCGATGACTATCGCGATTCGAATGAATGTAAATATGTAAATACGTAAATACAGATTTTATCGCGTTTAATTTGAAGTTATTGGTCAGGGTGTTGTGGGCTGTGGATTCGAATCCATGGCGAACAAATAGTATAGTAGAAGTATAGTTACAGCCTATTTATGTCCCACAGCTGTGCACAGGCTTCCTCTCATTTCTGATAGGGTTTTAAGGCAAGGAAATGTCCGCCGCGCTGTCCTAATGTGTGTTGGCTGGCTTTACATGTCTTCGAATTATATTTTTTTCTTAATTCACAGACATAAAGGTTTCGTCACGATGTTTTTCTTCATCGGCGAGCACGTGGTAAATCAGCAATTGGTTTGTATTTATCTTAATTTAATTTGAAATTAAGAGCATTAAAATTCGTGAAATATGCTTCAAGGTTGATAAATGTAAGAAGTAACTATCAGGATTAGGGTAAGAGGTGATTCTCAATTCGGCTGCATTTAGTGTGTATGTTACGTGATATCATCGCCATTATATATATATATATATATATATATATATATATATATATATATATATATATATATATATATATATATGTGAACACTATATATTTCCGATCCCCAATTGCTTAATTTATGTATTAAACAATTGTTTAATTTATGAATTGTTTTACTCTGGTACAATTACCATGATTGATAATTGTGCCAATTATTCAAGCTAATTTCGTCGATTGCCCAGGATGTGTCAGACGACAGGTGCTTGGTACGTCACACGAAGAGCATACATGCATAAATCTTTTTTCTTTGATACGTGCTTTATAGAAATTAATAAGCGTCAACTAAAACAAAATCAACGGCTTTTATGCGTAACTACATTTACCGTATAAGTAAATTTTTATTATTTTTAAAACGCTAGACATTGGTAACTCAATAAATACTGCAGCTAAGCTCACGGTCAATTTGTCTGAGCTGGAGCTGCGAACCGGCTCACAGATCAGCTCGATTGAAGATACAGCGCATTAGAAATTTTAGTGACTCTTGTTGTGTAGTGAGTCAGCGTTCACATGTTGTCACCGTATCTTTAATCCATACGACTTAAACAATATTTTTCCCGTTTTCATTGTCTTAGTTATTTGCCTAACAGGTTCGTGAAGCAGTGTTGTATCGTAGGTTATTAGGTCACTTTTTTATCAGTGAACACAAATAAACAGCTCAATAATTTAATATTAATTTATAAACTCAAGGTCAAATAAAAACAACTAAGGATTATCACCAACTAGACTATGACAACGTTTGTTCATTTTACAATCATAATTTTTTACGTGGTAGAGCATTACTGCAGGTATATTAGTAGTATAGTTGTAGCACGAACGGGTCGGCTTGACCGGGAAAGGACCACACTCTCACAGAATACTAACGTCAAATAGTAGCTTAATGCTGCTGTGTTTCGTATGGTGAGTGTAGAGAACCGGAGACCCTTTTTACTGGAAACGATGTATTCCACCTAAGTTCTCACGGGTGACAACGCATCTGCATTTTGATTTGTAATCAAGGATAGATGTAGATGTCTATGGGCCACAGCAACCACTTACGATCAGGTGGACTGTGTGCTCGTTTGTCATCCTACTCTATAAAAAAATCTTTGAACTACACAAATATTACGTGTAGTCTGTTGGATTAAGTTAAGATTCATCAGCCGTTAGCTGCTTAATTTGAAATTGAGCTGCGGTTCAGCGGCTCAAGTCTGTGATATGCATATTTGAGTCGGTTTAAAGCTGAGATACACACATACTCGTATACCAAACGCCGCCCAGCGGTTTAGATTTGTTTATTGGCTTTTTGGTTTAAGTTGGAATGTTTATAATTTTATATCCGATTAAACGATACTATCATTGATATTTTTACAAGCCGATGGTGATGATGACGACATTGATGTAGTAGTCACATCATGTACACTCATTGTCATTGCACACCCATAGTTGATGCACCCTCTGTAAGCCTTTTTACGCATATAGGTCAAAACAACAAAATTTAAATAAGCCTAATACTATAGTGAAGAAGGATTACAGTCAGATTTTATTTTCCGCGGTATAATTAATTAATCAGAGCTTTAAGTGCGGATATATGCGGTTACGCAATTGACTTTAATCTGTTAAATCAATTTATGTGTACATTATATATAACTAGCGATTTGCCCCGGCTTCGCACGGGTGCTATCTGGATTTTACAACAGTGCCACCTAGGTACCCGGTGCACACCTACCTATTCATATAATATTTTCGGCAGTGCAGGCAATATGTTGACAAAGTTTTACCGCAAATTAATGAACGGTATGGCAGCGCATGAAATACGAACAAACAAATATCAATTGTTATATATCACATTTACATTTATCACATATTTAAAATTGTTGATCAAAGAAAAGTTTTTAGTGTACTTTTACTAAAATTACACTAAAAGCAATAAAATAGAAGTAATTAAATTAATATCCAAGGAATCAAAAATTAAATTTAAATTTTGGGTACATTAAGAATTATATACATTTTTTAAAATTAAAAATACAATGTCTAATCAGAATTAAACATTACCAAATAAAATTTTAAACATTTTAAGTGCATATATAAAGAAAAATAAAACAGCGTAACAAAAAGTAAGCCTGCATAGCGATAAAGAATTATAAACTACGTCTAACGTCATCTTCAAAGGCCGCGCTCTCTGTTTTTTGATCATTAATAAGTTCCAGGCGGGGTGACACTGCTACCACGTAGTTTCGAACTCTTATCGTCGATGTTTATCTTAATTACAAAGTTAATACCATAATTTAGATTCTAAACGGGCTCTAACGAAGTGCTTTGTGATGCCACCGTCGGCGTTAAATATCACAGACCGAATTCCTTCGAAACGCGATGGGTGCCGATCGCTAATCAAACAATGGACATAGCACGCATCGCGGTACATAAAATTCTATTGTCATTAAACAAAAAGGCGAACGTTGACACAATATAGGGTGACACGGTATGAAAACGCTAACAATGCAATGTCAAATATCGACGATATATCACTTTTCATTCGCACCGTATAAAACATTTAGCACGCCCTTGCCTAATGCCATCATGGAAGCGATCCTTTAAATGCATAAATACGAAGCCAGATTCAGGTATGATGAAGCGATAAAAAAATTAGGATGGCATTGGTATTTCTATATGCTGCCAGTACCTCACGATATTGGATTCTGTACTCTTTTTCCTAACAATTTTTGAAAATGGAATGTAGATACAGGCAGGCAGACGGCTGCCATTTGTCTTCGCAAATGAGCCGATATCTGTGTCGGCGAATGGATAATGGATGTTGTATGAAGGCACGTATCTGACGGCTGACTTATTAGCGACCCGACTTAGTGGAACGCCGATTGGTACCTGTAAGTGAATTAGATTTAAATGTGATAGTAGTTAGATAATTTTCTAAGTCAAATTTACCTTCTTTTATTTCTTTACTCAATATAATGAATAATGAAGATGTGGCAAAAAATTTAAATGAATATGACGTACGTTAAGTTAAATTGTGGTTTACCTATATATAAACGTGTAGTTGTTCGAACTTGGGCAAATATTGGCGGGTATAAAATACCATAAACTGTAAAACAAAGCAATATTGGAAGGGGCGCTTCAGTTCAGTTAGATGCCGACAAAGTTTTCGGGGTAACTGATTGAATTATTCAGGATCCGATTCGGCAGTCCGTCAAACCTCGATGGGGCGCTCAGGTCGTTGCATTTTGTCCGTAAATCTGCAGTAATATTAGGAATATCGTATGCAGTGCTCATGAGCAATATTCCTATATATTTCTCGTATTCAAACTTGATAATATTGCATCAAATTTGAATCGCAGCAAACGTTTCAAAAGTATATATCATTGAGATCAGCTTATGGTTTACATTTACTTTGAAAGACGAAATAAATACGATATATTGTCATGACTGAATACTAACATTTATTTGGTTATTTACTTAAATGTGTCTATCATGACCGTTTTAGCGGTATTTTAGAAAAATATACGGAATATATGGAAAACATCAGGATACATTGAGGACGCAGAGGTTCAATGTTGTATGCAGCACTTAGACCATAGAGTACGAGCAAGCCAGGGTGGTTACGCGTAGCGGGAAGTAACGTGGTAGCTATTAGAGGGTTGCGTGTACCGCAATAGCAATGGTTATGGAGTATAGATTCAGACTAAAGGGATACTAAGTACGATTTTTAAAACTTGTAAACAATTATAGGTTTGTATGTCATGCATGAAAGGTGTATAGAAGGTGTACTGTATATAAGGTCGTGGGCTCGTCTAGCGTAGAGCCACTCACTTTTAGAATGCTCTGCACTTTTTTCACGATTCTTACTACCACTTTACTACTTTCTACTGTGCTCCTGAGTTGGTACTTGAAATCCAAATTTCAGAACCAAGGAGATGCTCATAATTGTTTTCCCGGTTCTTCGGATAATCTAAAGTTCCCAACGCCTTTACACCGTACTGGTTATATGTCCCACTATTTCACTCTTACGGCTATAACACTCTGGAACGAAAAAAAGCTTCCAACAAGTTTCTTTTCCAAACAAATGTCGTAAACATTTTAGTAAAGCATTGCAAGTGTGAATTAACACTTTTTCCTAAAGAATAATTCCACCGTCACATATTTTCCTTATTTAATACTAATATATATATATATATATATTTGTAAATTTGTTTGAAAAACAAAATTCTTGAAATTCTTTAAATTTATAACAATGCCCATCTAAAGATTGTGTTGAAAAAACAGATTTTATCGATAAGATTTACTTGTGGATTATCAATTATTAAACAGATTCCTCTAAATGAACTAAAATACCGCCAAATTATTTAAGTTTCAATAAATTATAACCTACTTTAGACTTAGCAAGCTAGAAATTGTATTACTATTTAACATAAATTTTTATCTTGTTTTTAATATTTATACTTATATTTTGAGTGTTCTTGTTTATGCTACAAAGGCTTTTTATATTTCTCTCTAAATTACACCAGTAGACTTGATTTAGGTCCATGGGGCAAGCATCCATGGGGTCTGTACTCCACGTGGTTACACCCGGCTGTGTAATTTTATTATAAAAACATTAACAGTGAACGTGGTCCACAGTTAACAAATAAAAACTTGACAGCCCCTTAGCATAGCGGCTAACATTATTTGTGCGCGTAAACGCCCCCACAATACAGGAGAAAATTCTACGTCAGGTGAAAACGTTTTAAAAAGAATATTATATTATTTGTGTGAAAAGAATAGTATCTGTATAAGCACCTAATTATTTAAAATAATTTTTTTGTTCAGTTACTACACTTAAAGAATGAGTTAAATGCTTAAAAACTCACTGTCTATTCCCAAAAGCAGCAATATTTCATATGATAGACAACCTAAAAGTAGTAAAAAGATGAATGTTGGCGGGATTGATGCGTGTTGTTAAACTGTTTTTGCAATGTGAGATTCACTCGTTCTACCATGACATTCTGATAGTTCTTGATCCTGACTGGCCCAAGCTTATTATAGATAGCTATTCACAGCTATACTGCCTTCTAAATACACTAGAATACCGTGTTTAGGAGACGTGCAAGAGTCAGATAGTTGTTTAGAAAATGGCTCAGACAAGCAACCATTCACTATAATTCGTAGAGATTCAATAGCATTTTATGTATATGTTATTTAAATATAGTATATTCTTAGTTAATATTCGTTTTACGTGGTAGAGCTATAATTCAGGTATATTATGATTATGATTACAGTGCGAATGGCTCGATTGGGTAAAGATCTCACAGAATACCAGCGTAAAATAGCAGGTCAATGCTGCTGTGTTTCGTATAGTGCGTGTAGAGAACCGGAGACCCTTTTTTACTGGAAACGAAGCATCCCAGTCCTCAGGGGTAGTAAACCCATCTGAATTTTAATTCTTAATCGAGTACATGTCTATAGGCCACATCATCCAGTTACAGGTGGATGTACTCGCCCGTTTTAAAAAAAAGGAAATTCACTAGTGCGGTTTTATGCACTTAAATTCACACAATCGCCTTTTTCCCGAAATAAACATATGAACACTGGGGATATTTGAACAACACATGAAGTCCAAACAGTAATCGTATGTCAATATTTTCTTAAGACATGTATATTATATATATCCAAAAAAACTTTATTTAATAATCTGCCATTTTTTTCACAAACATTATTTTAAATGAGATTTCAGATTCTACGCAGAGAAAAAAGCAAGTGTGAAAACTGTGCATCATGAAAGTTTAAATTTTAAATTAAAAAAAATAAAGTAAATTAAAAACCTTTTAAGGGCGGCTGTTAAATAAGAGTTAATAATCAGTAAAAACAGCCATGACATTTATAACGCATCTTAAATCTGGGGATTGCGCTGGATATTGTAGGGACGTGACATCATGTTCGTGCAACTAAGGGAAACTCACGATACCATCCACACTATCTAGGTGCTTGGTCCACCACTGTACGTTCTATAAGGAGTTTTCTTTCTCGTACGACCCCTCTATGGAATCGTTTACCACTGGCCATTTTTCAGCACCAATACGACTTAGGATCCTTCAAAAGTCTACTCTTTTCTAAAAGGCCGGCAACGCACCTGCAATTCCCCTGGTGTTGCAGTTGTTTATGGATGGCAATAGTCACATACCATCAGGTAAGCCGAATGCTAGTTTGCCCCCTCTTTTATAAAAAAAGGCTGTTATCACCTTGACCTTATGTGAACGCTCATTGTCGTGCATAAGCTGGAAATTCTCACCAATTTGTGTTAGATGTTGAAAGACTATTGGTTCTAGCACCACGTTATAGTATTTTTCAGTAGTCATAGTGCCCTGGATAACGAGGTCTTTTCTTTTACCAGAAAATTCCTCCTCATACTATAATTGTACCATCTTGGTATAAATAATTCTTGAAGGTGTTAAAGCCGGATTCTACGACCAGGAACTCTCCAAACACGTACTCTCCTCGAATCAGGATGAAGACCAAATTGGGATTTATCGGTGGAAACCACCAACGACCATTGATGAAGTTCCCAGTTCACTAGCCCATGTTCTCCAGCCCATTGCAGTGTTCGTACACGACTTCCTCTTTTTAGAGCTAGAACCAGAAGTGGTCTACGAGTATAAAGGTTGGCTTCGTGCGGTCTCCTCCTCATAGTTTGGTCATTCATAAGCACATAAGGGTTTCATCCCTGTAACATTTTTTTTGCATCGCTGTAACATTTTTTTGTACGATAGGGTAACAAACGAGCACACAGGCTACCTGATGATAAGTGGTTGCTGCGGCCCATAGACAGCTACATCTATTCTCGAGTTTAAAATAACAACGATTTTAACATTGAGCTAATAGGTACTACGTACTAGAGGCAACACTGCATTCAGCTACACTGTTCCATTCAACTGCGGTGCTTAAACCGCACTTTAATCAGTCACTGGCTAGGCCACAGAGTACTTTTTGTATACCTGAAACGCTAGGCGCTTGTAAAGTTGTCACGTGTTGTGTTGATTTAAAAAAAATCTCTTGATAAAAATATGCCGTCTTGTGTACTTAGTAGATATTGCACAAGTAATTCAAGAAATGTCAGTAAAAACCAAGGAATTACTTTTCATCGGTTAATAAGATACTTAATCAATAAAAAAGTATTATACCTAGATTAATAATAAAACAAATTATTCCTAAGACGCCATCTCGTGTCATGGAATATAGATTATGAAATTAATTTGTTCAGATGCGACATTTCTGTGGGTACTTAAGTATGGGACGAATATATTATTATACACATTTTTTTGTAGAAATATATATATATATATATATATATATATATATATATATATATATATAAGTTATAATAATTAGGCTAAATTTTTTATATTTAAATCTGCTCATTATTATTTTATTTTTAGGTTTCCACATCAAAGTCAAAGTGGAATAAATTCGTTCATTTTTAACTCTCGCGTGCCCAGCATTTATGAACGACGAATATATTTGTAATTTAAATGTTATATTAATAAGTTTTGTTAAACATACATTTAGTATGTTTTTTATATTTGACATAGATAACTTTTAAAATATTCAGATAAAAAATATCATTAAAATGTAATTGTGATGATGATAAGATGTAATGCATTTAATATAATATTATGTAATATTATACTAAATAAGGAAATGTAATAAACAAAATAAATGATAAAATTAAAAAATTGTACTCTATATATTTTACCTATTTAACAACACAATCTATTATTACCTACTGATCATTCTACCTATGTTTATTCTATGATAAAAAACCAACTGTGCGAACACAGAGTAGCGCACAGTTTTTGTTTGAAATAGCTGTTCTATAGTACGTAAGTACATATTACTTCAATGAATTTTAAAAAAGTTTTCACTTCAAAAATAACAATTATATACACTGAGTCCAAAGTTCGTTCCCTATAGTTCATTCCAAACACATCTAATTCTTTCTTTTATTTAAATTTGAAATTAAAACATTTTAAGGTGGCCAGTACTTTTTCAGTTGTTCAATGTTATTAAAAATATCCCTATACCACGTTGATGTGTTTATAGATTACTTATTGAGAGTTCGGTTTATTTTAGAACACGGGTTAATAGCAAAGGGTGCATCTTAAATATGTTACTGGCCATTAAAAAAGGCAAATTTTCGATTCTGCGTCTACGCGAACTGAATCAGTTTTCCATAAAAATCGAATAGAGGAAACATTTCGCCTCTGGTCCGCCATCGCTCTCCATTTTAATGAATAAGTTAACAAAATTAGTGGGGTCCAATATCGAAATAAGTGAAACGAGTAGATGCTAAAAGATACGGCTTCAGCATATAAATTATCCATTTAGAGAAAATAATTCTGTACAGGTCGCTCCCTTGAAGCCTTTATGCTCAATACACGTGCGTTTTAAAAATAAGATTGAAGTGAAATGTTTCCTTTCAAGCTATAAGGACTCAATCCAATTTAATTTTTTAAAATCCCAAATTAAAGTCTGAATTTTTTGTAGCATTATTTTTTATTATAATTAAATTTTTATTATAATAAAAAATAATGCTACAAAAAATTACAATATACTAGCTGTTACCCGCGGCTTCGCCCGCATGGTCACTGGGAAATGAACTATCCATTGCTTTTTGAATTGAAAGAAAACTGAGTTTTATAGATTTGTCAGAGATGCAGCCATTAAAAGGAAACTGAGCAAAATTGATTCGTTAGCCTATTTAAAAGTTTTGAAACGCAGCGTATAGGAAAGCATGAAAATAGCCTGTTTATTCCAAATGGAAATGGGATATTTTTTTAATTAAAGGAAACTGAGCATAATTGTCCGTCAGGCATGCAGATTTTTGAAAAGAAACTGAGCTAAATTGATTCGTCAGAGATGCAGTTTTCTGGATTGAAAGGAAACTGAGCCAAATAAAAGATCCGTCAGAGATGCAGCCTTTTGAGTTGAAAGGAAACTGAGCTTAATAGGTCCGTCAGAGGTGCAGCATTTGGAATTGAAAAGAAACTGAGTTAAATAGGAAATTTTGAATTGAAAGGGAAAATCTGTGGGAATTCTGATTAATTGATTGTGGGAATTTTGAAAAAAAAAAAAAACTAACTGAACACTATTTTAAGACGCTACTGTACACAATGTTATATGTTTTTCCATTCGGGGAAAGAATGTGGAGATTCTGGGCATTTGAAACATGCGAACATGCTACATATAGCTGACCATGAGAGAGGCACGGTTTTTCTAAGTTGACCCCCGCTACCTGTAACGGTTGTCCTTGCGCTTTATTAATTGTCATTGCAAAACTGAGCTTAATAGGGAACTGCAACCTTTTGAATTGAAAAGGAAGATCATAGGGATTATAGGGATTAATTAATTATATGTGTTCATTGTATGTCATGTTCACGTGTGTTTGCTGTAACCTTCGCAAAATATCTTCCGCCATGTACTCTTTATATTTGTCCAACAATTCATGTGCATTAGATAGCCCGCAAGATGATATGAGAGTTGCATGCAACAAGATTTTTTTATGCATAAAGATTCCTAATTTTCTCTGGTGACTGGCACTGCACAGCTTCCTCCATGGTTTCACCCCAGTGATTATCGTTTTCTAAAAGATGCAGAGCTTCACATGCTTCTCTATAAGTTGCGCATTCCTGACCGTTGACAGTTTTAAGGTTTTTATACCCTGTAGGCCCCCGAACATGGTGCAGCAGCATTCGTAAACAGAAACATTCAAAATTAGTTACATGGACGGTATACACACGGCCAAGGGCATCTGATGACTTTACACCAGGCCAATTTGCAACAGGCGGGCCTTGAATACGGCGTTTCCACTCCTTCCTAGATGTGTTCCAAGTATAATAGCGGGGGACTTCAGAATATAACGTTTTTGCAAAGGGGTCGGTTTGACAAAGTTGAAAGAAGGCTGCTAGTGTAGTTTTTGGCGGTGATGCAATTCTTTCTTGGAAATTTCTTTCGGTGAAATATACACGCTCTCCATTTTCTAAGTGCACAGCAAGGTGAGTAACTATTGGGTGCCTTTCGTGTAAAGGGAAGCCAAGGAGACGCCACGCTGCCTCGTTACTGCTGACATAACGCTCTGCTTGAAAGGTCTGTATTTCATTAACGGGATTTGTCTCACCTTCCTCTGAGATTAAATATGTGCTTTTGGAGATTTATTTCCACTCGGGTGGTATTCGTTTGGGTTTTCCTTCTTCATATATAATTTGAATGCTTGGTGGTGATTATGCTCCTGGACTTTCGATGGTGTGGATAATGACTGAGGTTGTGGGTGTCAATGTCAAATGCGTTACTTGTGATACTAAGTGGTATTTAAATTAGTTTTATATGTTTCTTTGTTGTTTATTGTATTAATACGTTTGATGTTAATAATATTTACATAACTTTCTTCGTAAATAAATAATTATCAAATAATATATATCCTAAATAAATCTAAAAATACTAATTCTTTGGGAATTTTGTTTGACCAGTGCAATGTTATTATTTATGTTTTATTTTTTCTTGACAACATGTTGAAATTCAGCAGTGAAGCGTTTTGGTATATAATTTTAATTTCCCGTCTCAGTTGGGTGTTGTACTGTAGTTCTGTTTCATATAAACATTTGAGCACTTTGATACACCGAAATTCAGCTTGGCATCGCTGAGGAACTATAATAGCACCGTTCAAATTTCAACGGGACAAAGGCTTTCTCATATTTTTTAGTAAGTGGTAATGTATTGTTACTTTTATGTCATAAAATATGTAGTTATATTGATTTGTACAGTATACTGTAGCTAGATTTTATATTTTCTTTTCTTTACCTATTTTATTTAATCACACTAATTGTTTAATTAATGTTAGTTTTAAGTATAAATTTCTTCCATTACGCCAGTGAGTTAGTTGTGTATTTTCTAATATCAGTATAGGTATAAGTTAATTAATTATGAGAGTGCACACTAAATATGCTTCACTTTGAATGTGTCAAGTATCGGCCCTGCTGTAAGAAATTTCAATATGAAATAAGCAGTGCCTTTGTACGAAATATATTTTTTAAAGAATATTAACAATGCTAAAAACATTACTAATATTCCCCTTAATCGCTCGTGGTAAGCTTAAATTGCTTGTGTTACGAGTGGTTCACGCCAGTAGTCGAATGGCAGATTCGAGCCCACGACCTTTTTGAGTTCGCTGTCCGCGACCTGCCATTAGGCTACTGTCGCTTAAACATTTTTACATTTAACATTACTACTACAATATTTAACATTACTACTACTATAAACTTTTACATTGTAACATAACTTTGTCTGTACATGAATTGTTAAATAA